GGGGGCGCGAATAAATGAATCACTAGAACAGAAAGGAATAAAGACATTATTCCTCCGGTGTTAGATGAAAGGTACGCGTCAAGAAATAATTTTGATTCCTTTCCAAAATTGAGCATTGGAGATAAATGATATAGTGTGTAAGAGAATTGAAGATAAGGGTACATAGTGTTGAGCAATTAAAAATAGACAAATCTATATGTGGGGACAGTCACAAGCAGTTGATCTTGTCCATGAAACTTGCAAAGGATGCAGTTTTTGCCTTCAGTGTATTGAATTATATCAAAAGCAGATTGGTACATGTTACACCACGGTCGAAGAATCGACTGTTCTTTTGGGCGACAAGTGTCGAGGCCTTCCTGTTGAGAACCGGTCGCTGACGTTGAGGGAACCAATTTATCTAGGGTGCCCTTTAAACGTCGAGAGTTCGCGTAAGGATAACGCACGTCGAGAGCCCTGCTCGGGTGGCGAGGGCCACAACGTCGAGGTAGCAGCCCAATCCAAACCGCTGTCAGCTCAGAGAAAGATACACTGTACCACCTGCCGCCACTGTTGAGGTCAGGAAATCAGGTAGTCGGTAAGGGTGGATAACCTGACTAGGAAGCAGTAATCATGGAAATCCGACTGTCAAATCTCAGAATTAAGGGACTGATAATGATCTCCTTGGGAAATGCATAGGGGTCTCTCATATGTACAAGGCCTATAAATAGAGTCATGAGAATTCATTAAGTTTTTGATAGACATTAATACTCTACTCCAGAAAGCTTGTAATCTACAACATATTAGTGCATACACAAGTGAATTAGACAAAAAATTTTAGCCGAACCACTATAAATTTATGTCTCTTTATCTTATACTACATCATTAATCCTGAATCAACACGTGAGAGATTATTGTGAGTATTCTCAGAGAATTAATCCCTTATTGACTGAAAACAACCGTCAACAGTACACATTATAACATTCGTGTTAGTTAACTTCTAGATGAAAAAGATAAAAGAGAGAATGAATATATATATATATATATATATATATATATATGTGGACAATTATAAGTTATTGTGAGAGAGTGAGAGAGATCATGGTGGGGAGTATAAAACGGTGTAATGAAATATATAATATACTTACATATATATACGTGGACAATTATAAGTTATTGTGATTGAGATTTTTCGGCGGTATAAAGTCAGTGGGGGCTTTTGGGGCTTATGCGGCAAATTTGATTCTTTATATTACGTGTATACAAATTGAGGATTTGTCTATGTCAATCATATTAAGCTTAATTTATGCATATTATATGCATGCAGATTCTAAATATGTTTGTCCCTTTTTCCAGATATATATATATATATATATATATATACCCTTTTCATGTTGTCTAATGTAAGCTTTAGTTCAAAGGAAGAGAATGAGTCAAAACAAATGCCCATAGACTGCTCGGAAGTTGGTGCATTAATCAATGGTGGGGGGAAAAAGGAAAGGGGGGGTGGGGGTGAGGTGGAAAGCTAGGCTAATAAAGACGTCAAAAGACCATTCTTAATTGAATATATAATGCCAGTAGTTTTGCGAGTACTGGTTTGAAACTAAGAAAGATCTTTGACATGTATTATATTGTAATTTATGTTGTGACTTGCTTTATGTAAATCAACTATTGAGGAAATCTAGGACATAGGTTTTTGATATGTCATATATTGTAACTTTGATTAATAGATTATGGGGGAGGAAAAAAAAAAAAAGAAAAAGAAAAGTCCATTTGCTCTTTTGGAAAAGGAAAAAGGAAAAAGGGTGTGCATCAAAACATAAAAAAATAATTAGTCACATCAGCCACCAGGAAAAAAAAAAAGAAATAAAAAAGTCATGACATGCTTGACTCAACCTGATCATACCCAATTGACAGCTGGATAATCATATCAGGTCATTCGATTCGTTAATTTGAGTTTTTAATTTGAGTTGAGATATGATGTTATGTGAGAATTTTTTACTGTAATAAAAAGGTTAGATGTAACTGTTTCTGATAACTTTTTACTGTAGTAAAACTCAAATCAGCGAAAAGAACGGGACCTAAGATTTGCTCAAACGAAACATATGAAATACAAATTATTACCCCCGGACACTGTTCATCCACACTCAGTTTACTGTTTTTACAATATTGTTGTGACGCTTTTGCCCTTTTTCTTCTTCTTCTGTTTGGTTCACGTGCCTAGTTTTTTGGTATTTTCGATTTCTAATTATGTGCATTGGCTCTTTTGCCCTCCGTTGTTTACTCTGATGATTGTTTTTGGGCGTGGATTTTTTTGTCATCTCGGGTGGGATACAACCCTAAGGGCTTTCTTTTTCTCTCGACGTTCTAGGCCCGCGCCGCTTCTCTCATTTTCCTTTTTCTTACCTGCTTCTCCTCCATTTTTGTTTCTTCTGTTGCCCCGTCTCTCAGTTCTCCGTTTTTTACCAGTTTTTCCTCCATTTTCGTTTCCTCTGTTGCGCTAATTTTTCCCCTATTCAGTTGGTCATTTTCTTAGTGGGTTTGGTGCAAGCTTCTGTTGTTTCCCTTTTTTCTTCTCTTGCTGTCTTCGATTTGCTGTTTTTTACTAGGGCTTTTATTCATGTTCAGTTCTTTTCTCTTGAGGATTGTGAGTTTTTCCTTCTATTTGTTGATGTTGATTTTGCGTTGATCAGATTCAGGATTTTTAGTTGTTTTTTTCTTCTGTTGTATTCTTTGCACATTTGATGTTTTGAATTTAGTGCATTTTGTTTCTTATGTTTTTTTGGGGTTTGCCAGAAAAATAATTTTTATTGTGTCAGTTAATTTGCTGAGTTTTTGTTTTTCCTCAATAAAGGTAATTGTTGATAAATGCTAAATTTTCTACGAATGCTTAATTTCTTTGATGAGCTTATTTATTTTTGTACGGATGAATCCCTATGTATATATCTTCATCCTTTTGGTAGCTGATTTCCATAGGTTAATGCCTGATTTTTCTAGATGTTTCTCACATCTGATTTGCGGAGATAATGTTTTGTTCCTTTTGCTTGGTCATCTGCATTTCGTCCAGATAAGTTTCTTTTGCATTTATTGATTTGGTAATGTGTAATGGTGATATGTAATCTTTACTTGCTTCGTTCGTACTGTTCCTGTAATACTTTGTATCATCTTTCTTGCAGAGATATTAAATGTAATTGTGATATTT